GCCCGCCTCGGCCTCCCAGAGTGTTAGGATTACAGGCGTGAGCCACCGCGCCCAGCTGCTTTTCTACTTTTTGATGTAGGCTCCTATTGCTATAAGCTTTACTCTTATTACTGCTTTAGCTGTATCCCATAGGTTTCGATATGTTGTGTTTTCATTTTCGCTTGTTTGGAGAAATTTTTAAATTTCCTTCTTAATCTCTTCACTGACCCACTGGTCATCCAGGAACATATTGCTTAACTTACTGCTTAACCATGTGTTTGTATACTTTCTTTCCAGTGTTTGTTATTGATTCCTAGTTTTATTCCACGGTGGTAAGAAAAAATACTTGGCATGATTTCAATTTTAAAAAATTTTTAAAGACTTGCTTTGTGGTCTAACATATGGTCTATCCTTGAAAATGATTCAGGAGCTGAGAGGAACTTGTATTCTGCAGCTGTTGGAGGAAACTTTCTGTAAATATCTATTAAGTTCATTTGGTCTGTAGTGCAGGTTAAGTCCAATGTTTCTTTGTGGATTTTCTGTCTGGATGATCTGTCCAATGATGAAAGTGGAATGTTGAGGTCTCCAACAATTATTTTATTGGGGTCTATATCTCTCTTTAGCTCTGATAGTATCTGCTTTATATATCTGGGTACTCCAGTATTGGGTAGATATATATATATTTAGAACTGTTATATCCTCTTGCTGAACTGTCCCCTTTATCATTATATAATGACTTTGTCTCCTTTTACAGTTTTTGTCTTGAAATTTATTTTATCTAGTAGAAGTATAGCTGCTACTGTTCTTTTGAGGTTTTCATTTGCATGGAATATCTTTTTCCATCCCTTTATTTTCAGTATATAGAGGTTTCTTGCAGGTGACATATGGTTGGCTCTTGTTTTATTAATCCATTCAGCCACTCTATGTCTTTTGATTAGAGAGGTTACTCCATTCACATTCAATGTTATTATTGATAGGTAAGGACTTACTACTGCCATCTTATTATTTGATTTCTGGTTGTTTTGTGGTCCTCTTTCTCTCCTCCTTCCTTCCTGTCTTCCTTTGTTAAAAGTGATTTTCTCTGGTAGTGTTTTAATTTCTTGCTTTTTATTTTTTGCATTATCTGCTTTAGGTTTTTTGATTTGAGGTTACCATGACCCTTGTAAAAAACATTTTATAACCAATAATTTTAACATTAATACTCTGCTTATAAATAAAGAGAAATCTAACAAATTCTACCCTTTAGCTTCATCCCCCACTTTTTAACTTTTTGTTGTTTCCATCTGTATCTTTTTATACTATCTCTCAAAAAGTTACTTTTGATATGTTTGTCTTTTAGTCTTCCTACTCGAGATAAATGATTTATGCCCTGCAATTACAGCAATAGAATATTCTGTATCTGTGTGTTAGTGTTACTAGTTAGTTGTATACATTTAGATTTCTTATTGTTCATTAATGTTCTTTTCTTTCAGATTGAAGAACTCCTTTTAGCATTTCTTGTAGGGAAGGTCTGGTGTTGGTAAAATCTCTCAGCTTTTGTCTGGGAAAGCACTTCTCCTTCATGTTTGAAGGACATTTTTGCAGGATATAATATTCTAGGGTTACTGTTTTTTTTCCCTTAGCACTTTGAATACGTCATGACACTCTTTCCTGGACTGTAAAGTTTTCAATGAGAAATCTGTTGTCAGACGTACGGAACTCCTTTACATGTTATTTGTTTCTTTTCTCTTGCTTCCCTTAGGATCTTTTCTTTATCTGTGACCTTTGGAAGTTTGATTATTAGGTAGTCTTGTTGTGTTAAATCTGCTTGGTGTTCTATGACCTTCTTGTAACCTGAATATTGATATTCTGTCATTATTTCTTTGAATAAACTTTCTATCCCACTCTTTCTCTACCACCTTTTTAAGGCCAATAACTCTTAGATTTGCCCTTTTCAGGCTATTTTCTATAACTTATAGGTATGCTTCATTCTTTTTTCTTTTTTTTCCTTTTTTCTCCTCTGACTGTATTTTCAAACAGACTGTCTTCAAACTTACTAATTCTTTCTTCTGTTTGGTCAATTCTGCTTCTGAGAGACTCTGATGCAGTTCTCTGTTTGTCAACTGAACTCTTAAGCTCCAGAATTTCTGCTTAATTTTAAACATTATTTCACTCTCTTTGTTAAATTTCTTTTCTTTTTTTTTTTTTTTGAGACATAGTCCTGCTCTGTTGCCTGGGCTAGAGTGCCACAGT